AATCATCTGCGGTTGTAAAATTTTTCATTAAAGTACAATATGTATGTATCTTTTAATATCTATGCATTAATTTTAATTGTATGTATTTGTGTTCCTCTTTTTCTTGGTAACTGTAGCTAGAGGTTGGATGTTTTATTATATTTTCAGAGACAACACTTAAATTTATACAATCTTCTGTTTTCTTTTTTATTATTTAACTTTTGCTTTTATCTTTATTACATTTTCATGTTTGTTTGTTTGAGACATTGTCTCGCTCTGTTGCCCAGGCTGGAGTACAGTGGTGGGATCTCTGTTCACTGCAACCTCCGCCTCCTGGGTTCAAGCAATTCTCCTGTCTCAGCCTCCCAAGCAGGACAACAGGTGCACGCCACCATGCCCGGCTAATGTTTTGTATTTTTAGTAGAGACGGGGTTTCACCATATTGGCCAGGCTGGTCTCAAACTCCTGACCTCAGGTGATCCACCCACCTCGGCCTCCCAAATGCTGGGATTACAGGCATGAGCCACCGTGCCTGGCCGTTTTCTTGTTTTTCTTCTATTTACTTTGGTGATATTAAGAGGAACGCATAGTAATATATTTTCAAATTCTTTTTTAAAAAATAAAGTACTTGGGCTGTGAGTTTTTCTTCACAATTTGACAGTCATTTTCACCCAGCACAAAAGTGGGGAGGGAGGCTAATTATAATCTTCAGGGAGGCTTTGTCATGTGAAAATATTCCAATGTCCTGTTTTCTCTTTCTCCGGTTGCCTCACTTCAACCTTTGAAGTTTACTCTGTTTATTGAGAATGCTTTCTAACAAGTGTGTATTTCCCTAGTAAAAAAAAAAAAAAAAAAACGGAGTTGTGTGGAGTTTAACCATAGCTCATAAATCTTCGTATGATAGTCTCATTATTATTTTGGAGTTATGCTTTTCATTATTAAGTAGTTTAAAATTTTTGTTTCACTTTTAGCTTTGTTTGTGTAAATTTTATAAGTATATTGATATTTTGGTGAAATTTAAAAATGTTCCAAAACCAGTTCATGCTGCTTGAAGTTTGATATGCCACATAGTTGACCAAACATATCAAATGTGTGAAGCACTGACTGTTGTCCTGGAAACAGAACATCGAAATGATGATTAGCCATGGACCTGGGTAGGATATAGTTTGTCTGGAAAGAGGGTCACAGAATAAGCCCTGAGAGTCTTCTTTGCTGCTGAATCCCAGAATTTGGCACAATGTTTGGCTCCATACAGATGTGTTAAATGAATAAGAAGGGTTGCTTTGTGCCAAAGCTTAGGACCTTGGATTCACCAGTGTTAACAATCGAGGTCCCTGATCATTTTCCATCTGCTCACCCTACCAACCCCAGTTTTAATGCCTAGTTCTCATCTATTACACATGGTTATGTTTCATTGTTTGTGTGAGCTGTTTTTTAATGAGTTTTTTTGTTTGTTTGTTTCTGCCTTTCCACTACTTTATATTTACTCTGAAGGCTGCAAATGAGTGTGTGTGTGTGTGTGTGTGTGTGTGTATTTTTTTAAGGGATTTAAAGGCACAGCCACAAACACATATTTGAGTAAAGTTAGGACAGTAATAACATTGAACATGTATCAAGCACATGAGACATGTTAAACCCACTGGGTAAGCACTTTTCTTGCTCATTATCTCAGGTGATCCTCACAAAGACCACCTGCTCAAGGGCACAGCTGGATAATGACAGAATAGAGATTTGTACCTGTAGCCCAGATCGAAAACTGTAGTTATATCCACGTCTCAGGAATCTCATAAACCAGCAACACTAAGTTTTTGCAGACATTAAAAAGTGTCTTCATAGTTTCCTCAGTTTATCCAGTCTTTTACTATGAACATTTGATATTTTCCCCTCTCTCTTGTTTGCAGTGTAAATGTTTCCTTTCTGTGACACCTTCATTCTTTACAAATGAAAGAAAATTATGTCTAGATCCCAGGAACTCATTTGCTCTCATTTGTACAAAGGGCAGGATGACATCATTTTCTATAAATTTTTTAACTGAACTCAGACTGTTTACAGATTTTAAACCTTCTGACTGATCAAAGGAGAAACTAAGCAGGAAATTTCATAATGGGTTCAGGAGGATGGCACGGGGCTATATTAAACATTTGTATGGTAAAAGCTGCAAAAATGACGGACTGTGTCTATACATTGGAGGAAAAACAGGCAAACGTTTAAAACTTCACGTGGTGCCTCTTTATTTTCATATGTTTTCCTGTGTGTAAGTTACACATATTCATTTATAAAAATGTGGAGAAATGAATAAGGCCCAAAGTAAAGAAAATAAAATCTTATAACCCCACCTTGAGAGAAGAGCATTTGCTGACATTTTACAGTATTTCTATCTAGAATTTTATTTCTGCATATAAATTTTTTTCAAATATGACCTACACCACGTATTCAGTTTTGCAGTTTGCTTTTTTTCTTTTAAATATGTTTCATTGTGTCATTTTAAAATATTTCAGGGACTTAGAAGCAGTTATTTTATCTTTCTTTTCCTCCTCCTACCTTTAAAGAAACTTAGTTGAAAACCCATTTTAATAACAAAATTATAGAGACTGAGAACAGAGTAGTGGTTTCCAAAGAATAGTAACAGGAATAAGTGGTGGGTGTGACTACAAAGGAGTAGAATGAGGAGGTCTTTGGTTTCATGGAACAGTTCTGTATCATGATTGCAGTGGTGCTCAAGCTAATCTATACATAGAGTCAAGTTGCAAAGAACTATACACACAGGTTGGAGGAAGTGAAGGTCCCAGAGGGAACTAGGGGCCCCAGGAGGGAGTGCTTTAAAGGTTGAGAAATATGGTTTGAATGAGGAGTTGGGGGTCCTAGAAGGAGGTTGAAGGTCCAAGAAGTTGAGCGTTGGAAGGTGTGAGATTAGGATCCCAAGGAGTGTTGGAAGTCCAAAGAAGGGCTGAGGGATAGAGAGTGGAAATTCAGAGTCCAAAGAAGAAAGGTGGGGTTGGTAGTGTGTCAGTGGGGGTTGGAGGTGACCTTGCCTCCCATCCCCACTTCCCAGGGCAGACCTGGAGATGAAGAGGGCAGATGCTCACAGTCCTGAGAGTCCAGTGTGCCAGTCACTGAGCTGGGTCTGGTGGCAACTGCTGGCACACTGGGGCTGACCGACCACTGGGTAGGACATGGCTGTAGAGGTGACGGAGGAGGTTACCCACTGAGGGGATGCCACTGTACCTCCCCGTTCCCTTCTGCCACATCTGGGCATTAACACCCCTGTCTGTCCCTGTTGCCCTTGCCTGTTACCCATCTAGTTGAGCTGGGGCTGGGAGGTTCCTGCACACCTGGGGAATGGTGGGCATCACACATGCTGCCTCCTCCGTGTCTGGGCCCGGGGCACTGGGTTCCCACATTTCAAGGGCCTCTGGAGTGAAAGCCCATATGTCTTTGAAGCCAGGATGCAAAGGAGGCGGCCAGATTCCAGGTGCTGGAAAGGTTGCCGGTCCATCCAGCAGTCCCACCTTTGCCTTCCACTTTATCATGCATCTCAGACTACATCTTGCTGGCCCCGAGGAGGTAGCATTAAGGGTGGCAGAGGTGGCTGCTGTGACAGTGGCAGAGTCTATTCAAGAGATGCTGGGTAATGAGTAGGCAAGGGCAAGGGACTGGGGCACTGGGCTCTCGGGGGCAGGGGAGGTGGGAAGAAGGAGGCCTGGTCAGCCACTGACTACGAGAAATGTGGAATAGAGGTGGGTGGGGTGGAAACTCTCCCACCTCATCACAGCTGCCCAGTAGACCCCAGAGCATCCGAGCATCCTCCTCATGCCAGAGGCAGAACTGGAGAGAGACCAAGATTCAGAGACAGGTAAAGTCCGAGACAGGGAAAGAAGGAAATCAGAGCCAGGTGCCCACGGAGGTGCTGCCAGTGATGCCCACACATGCCCAGCACTTTGACTCCTCCACAAGCCCATTTTACAGACACAACAGTGAGGCCAAAAGAGGTGAAAAGAAATGTCCCACATTTGATGGCCCAGGCCAAGGGGATTAGTAGAGGGGATGCTGAGCCCTACGATTTCCAAATTTAACCCGGCACCACTCAGGCTGAGAAGGAGGGATTCAGGGGTCATTGAGAAAGACAGGGATGTCAGGCAGCGAGATGGAAAGAGGCAGAGAGACATGAGTGGGGTGGGGTGGGGTGATGTGGAGGGAGAATGGAACAGAGGGTGCGGGTGGGGTCCCAGAGCCAGAGGTATGGGCGACCTCGGCACTGAGGGAAGAAGAAAAGAACAGTACGCACATGCACAAATAGGGCCACGTAACAACTGGTGAGCACCGAGGAGCCTAGGGCCACAGTACTGTGCCGGTGTTGGTGATCTGCGGCTACAGTTTATATAAGACATCATTGGGGGAAGCTGGTTGAAGGGTTCACAGGACTCTATGTGCAGGAACTTCTTGTGATTCTGTATAACTTCAAAATAAAACGTTTTTTAAAAACCCACTTTATAGAAACAAAATGAGGCTTTTTTTTTTCTAGAAAGACAGCTGACAAACAAAATGAGATTTTAATTAATGAACAAACTGAGTACTAAAATGCAGAGTAAAGAATGATAATGTATGGCCGGGCACAGTGGCTCACACCTGTAATCCCAGCACTTTGGGAGGCTGAGACAGGTGGATCACAAGGTCAGGAGTTCAAGATCAGCCTGGACAACATGGTGAAACCCTGTCTCTACTAAAAAATACAAAAATTAGCCCGGTGTGGTGGCAGGCACCTGGGATTACAGGCGCCTGCCACCTGGCAGAGAGGCTGAGGCAGAGAATTGCTTGAACCTGGGAGGCAGAGGTTGCAGTGAGCCAAGATTGCACCACACTAGCCTGGGTGACAGAGAAAGATTCCGTCTCAAAAATTAAAAAAGAAAGAAAAGAAAAGAATGATAATGTAAAGCTGCATGTGGTGGTGTGTGCCTGTAGTCCCCAGCTACTAGGGAGGCTGAGGTGGGAGGATCGCTTGAGCCCAGGAGTTTAAGTCCAGCCTGGTTAACATAGCAAGACCCCAGTCTCTTAGAGAAAAAAGAAAATAAAAAGAATGATCATGTGGAAACCAAGGAACCTGGCTTCTGATCCTACCTCTGGCTAGTCTTTAACTTTTAGGCTTCATTTTCTTTTATGGGAAATAAGAAAATTGCGCCAGAAAATTCTGAGACCACGTCAAGCTCTGTTATTCCATAGGGTGTATAGATTTCTGTAAATCTATATTTTGCCAAATATAGAATGAATGCCAATTGTATGTTAAATATAGTACAGAGATTGGGGCTTGTCTAACTTTGCAATAGGCAAGAAGTCTATTTCTGCCGCTTTCTGTGTGTCTGCCTATCACTGTATTAGACATCAAGGTGATATAGTAGGACTTAGTCCTTAAAGGACCTCAAGAGGGTGATAGACACATAGGAAGTACCTATATACATGCTAGATTACAAAACAGATAGTGTTAATGTTTGTTTATGTGCTAAAATGTGTGATATGCACAATATCTCCTCTAGACATTCTGAAAGAGATACTGTAGATTGCAGTATATCCAAGAAAGAAGTGGAATTTCAGACATATGCATACCCTGGTTTTATCGTTAATTGCATCTCATAATATGTTACAAGGACCAGGCTGAGCCAGGCACGGTAGCTCACGCCTGTAATCCTAGCACTTTGGGAGGCTGAGGCAGGCGGATCACCTGAGATCAGGAGTTGAAGACCAGCCTGACCAACATGGTGAAACCCTGTCTCTACTAAAAATACAAAAATTAGCTGTGTGTGGTGGTGGGCGACTCAGGAGGCTGAGGCAGGAGAATCGCTTGAACTGGGGAGGCGGAGGTTGCAATGAGCCAAGATTGCACCATCGCACTCCAGCCTGGTGGACAAGAGTGAGACTTCGTCTCAAAAAAAAAAAAAAATGTCGGGGAGGGGACCAGGTTGAATATCTCATAGATACTTTGCTGTTCACTGGGCTACAGCCACTCATCCCCTTTTATTCTAGGCTTAGACTTACTCTGTAGTTTGAGCTGTTGCATTAATAGAGGGTAAACTTACCTAGATTTACTTGGTATTTTTGCTTTTCTCTTTTTTTCTCTCCTGACTCCTTCCCCTCCAACCTAACTCCAGCTGAAAAAAGGAAGGGTGGGCAGACTGTGGACTCTGGCCTCCCACTTCTAAGTGTGTCTGATCCTTTCATTCCTCTTCAAGTACCTGATGCACCAGGTAGGTAAATAGAAATGTTCTGAGGTTAAACAGCTTGATTTGCATGTCCCAGGCCCTGTGGAAAATTCTGCCTTAAACACCCCATGAAAAGGATCTGAATTCCAAGCCCTAATAATAGGCTGCTGTTGCATAGTTTTACTCAATAAGAGGGGTAAACTTGTCTTGGAGGGTACTAGCCCTTAGCAAAGATAAAATCAGTTCAGGTTATACCAGATTGATTTCCATATTATATCAGTGTTCAGTTTTTCATCCTTGATGGTGTTAAAGGTGACATGAGGGGCCTATGTATTGGAAAGAACATTAGTCCAATATGGTTATAACAATGGCGGGGAGCCTGTAAGCACATGATAAAGTGAACAAAATATGAATAGTGGTGATAGCGTGATAATGGGATTATGGATGACTTTTGTTCAGTTCTTACTTTTCTATAATGTCTTTTTATTTTATAATATAAAAACACATAATAAAAATTAGGGAATGTGATAATAATTAATAGGGAATGTGAGTCAGGAAACCTGGGTTCCCTTCCAGCCTCTGCCCCTACCTGAAAAACCTTCTGGGCTTGGATCTTCATCAGTGAAGTGCACTGGACTGCAGGAGTTTCAATATCTCTTATAGTCCACCATATCTCAATTTTAAGTAGCAGTCTAAAAAGTAGAAAGTGGTTGGTGTGTTCTGATGGAAAGAACTTTTGGAACAGTGACTGGATGCTTCCCATTTGGAGTTCAGGTTGCCAAAACTTTTCCTTCCGGCTTTCCTCCCCTACTCTTTTTGGTGGGAGGAGTGATGTGGGAAAGAGTGGCCGTCCTTTCTCTTATCTGTCAGTCTCTTCACAAAAGCAAATTGTTCCAGCTCCTTAGAAGCAGTTGACAATTGTTTTGCTTCTGATCATTTTTCCTTTTTTCCCGTTGTTGCCCCTGCCAACTCTTGACCTTGAACTGATAGGACTGGCTTGGTTCTTTTTCTCTCCCCAAATAATAAAGGTATTTGATTGCTTGCTTCAAGATTGGAGTGATTGCGATGTTCATATCCTTTACGAAGTCTTCCCACCATCACTTACTAAGACAGACTGCAGCTAGGGTACCAAGGCAGTTTTTATTTTTTATTTTTAGACAAATTTGTTTACCCCTCTAAGGAGAAGCAAACACTTGCCTTGATCAGGTGGTACTCTAACTGTATAGCTTAATGGACCTAGATGTAGCTTAAAAATATCGAAAACCACTAAGGAATGATTCAATACAGGGTAGTTAAAAGAAAGGAAGGAATGAAATAGAGGCGCTTTGCCGGGCGCGGTGGCTCAAGCCTGTAATCCCAGCACTTTGGGAGGCCGAGACGGGCGGATCACGAGGTCAGGAGATCGAGACCATCCTGGCGAACACGGTGAAACCCCGTCTCTACTAAAAAATACAAAAAACTAGCCGGGCGAGGTGGCGGGCGCCTGTAGTCCCAGCTATTCGGGAGGCTGAGGCAGGAGAATGGTGTAAACCCGGGAGGCGGAGCTTGCAGTGAGCTGAGATCCGGCCACTGCACTCCAGCCTGGGCGATAGAGCGAGACTCCACCTCAAAAAAAAAAAAAAAAAAAGAAATAGAGGCGCTTTCTTCCTTTGCACTTTTCAGGTATGCCTGGCGGTACTTGGACAAGTTCATTTTGAACAGAAGGTTAGAAAAGTGTGGGCTGTAAACTCCAGCTGGGGCTGACTGTCTTTTCCTCCCTGTTTTGGTAATCATGGGATCAGACAAGGGAAAGAGGTGATGGAGGCACTCTCATTTTGACACCCCTTCAGGTTCTTGCTTTGCTGTTGCTTAGGTAGCTCATGGGCTGCAGAAGCCGGGAGGAAGGCCTCTTTGCACAGGGCCGAGGATGAGGGCCCTCAGACAAGTAACTGTCCTGTGCAGCTGTCACAGGAGTCCTCTGGATCAGGGTTGAAGAACCAGGCACATGCCCCAGGTGGCTCAGGAAATCGGCTCCAGCTTGTGGAAATGCGTCTGGGGCCACCAGAGCCAGCTGGCTGCCATCCTGCCTGCCTTCTTGTCATCTTTCCTGTCTCCTGGTTCTCCATGCTTCTTTCATCCCTGTGGATTCCCGCTGAAATGTTACTGGTATACACTTTAATACCAATTAAGCCAACACCTCTCTTGGGTTTCAGTGGAAAGATCAACTAAAATGAGACATTTTAATAGAGAACTCCAGGAGTGTGCTATTTACTTTCTGCTCTGTCAGACCAGACTCATCTGTTGAAAACATAAGGTAGACAGTTAACTCTTCTGTGCGCTGGTGAATTCTCATATCACTGAGGGGGCATAAAATCCAGGCTGCTTACTGCAACCTGCAAGGCCCTAAGTGGTGTGGCCCTCGCCTGCCCCTCTAACCTCAGCTGATAGCGCTCTTCCTCTCCATCTTGTCTTTCCTCCAACAAGCTAAGCTCATTCCCACCCCAGGGACTTTGCACTTGCTGGTGCTCAGCTTGGAAAGCCTTCCCTTCAGCTTTGTTCCCTTGTGTCATTCGACTTGTGGGTCTCTGTTTAAATGCCGTCTGCTCAGAAGGCCCAGTGTGGTCCAACGGGCACTCCCATGCCCAGGCACTTTTTCTTCATAGCCCTTATCAGGACATAGTCCATCTTTCCTCATCTTATCACTGTCTGAGGGTGGGGCCTCATCTGTCTTATTTACCACCTTTATCAGCTGTGCCAAGGACACTGCCTGTATTCACTCAGTGAGTATTTACAGATCAGACAAATGAATGAAATAAGACCAGAGGCTGGAAGCCTTTAGGTGGCCCCATTACCCTCCATTTCTATCCCAGCTCCCAGGCACCAGACTACTGGCTCCATAGCCTTCCATCTGCACCTCTGCCAACTCCTGGGCAGTCCCTGCACACCCACTCTTTGAGAGTGAATAAAGGAAGACACAGCCCACAGTGTCAGGCAGCTGCCAGCCCCTGGGCTGATGAGAATAGTAGCTAAGGCTCAGCAGGTCCTTTAGCCCCGTCCTTTCACGGTGTCCTGCAGAATTGTGCTAAGTATATTATATTACCCACGGTGGCTTTGACTATTCTGCTTATTTTAACATTCAGCCTCTAGCACATTCAGTTACACAGCTTCTATATCAAGGCCACTGCATCCTTTTTTAACATTTTTAAATATTGAGTGAGGAAAGGGCTCAGGGTTCCGTGTCTCTGGAACCTGGGGAAACTACAAATTTGGTTTTACACTGCAAAAAGCAAGCAGTCTGTCACACCACCAGCCTACTATGGACACCAGTCAGCTTTTTTGCCTGGTTTTCTTTCTTTGTTTTGTATACATATTCATCTACTCTCAGCTATACTGATGATAAGAATCCTGAGAGGCTGGGTGTGGTGGCTCACACCTGTAATCCCAGCACTTTGGGAGGTCGAGGCGGGTGGATCACCTGAGGTCAGGAGTTCGAAACCAGCCTGACCAATATGATGAAATCCCTGTCTCTACAAAAAATAAAAAAATTAGCCAGGCATCACGGTGGCATGCACCTGTAGTCCCAGGTACTCGGGAGACTGAGACAGGAGAATTGCTTGAACCCTGGAGGAGGAGTTTCCAGTGAGCTGAGATCACACTACTCCACTGTAGCTGTAGCCTGGGCGACAGAGCAAGACTCTGTCTCAAAAAAAAAAAAAAAGAATTGGCCAGGCGTGGTAGCTCACACCTGTAATCCCAGCACTCTGGGAGGACGAGGCAGGTGGATCAGAGCTCTGAGGTCAGGAGTTCAAGGCCAACCTGGCCAACATGGTGGGACCCCGTCTCTACTAAAAATACAAAAATTAGCTGGGCATGGTGGTGGGCACCTGTAGTGCCAGCCACTCAGGAGGCTGAAGCAGAAGAATTGCTTGAACCCGGGAGGCGGAGATTGGAGTGAGCCAAGATTGCGCCACTGCACTCCAGTCTGGGTGACAGAGCAAGACTCCATCTCAAAAAAAAAAAAAAGACTCATGGACTCTCAGTCTCCTGAAGACCGTGCCTTTCAATGACTTTTAACATTTTTATTTTATACTTTTAAAATGATCACATACAAGTACCTTTGATCTTACACATACTGGGGAGTGGTAGGTGGTAATGTCAAGTAACGCCCTCATTGTGTGGGTGAGGAAGTGAGGCCTTAGTGTTGTTCTGACTGTGCTCGGCCACACATTCCTTCTCTTGCCCACAGTCCCCAAACAGTGGATGTTTCTTTTATCTTTGGGACAGTTCCTAGATCAATAAAGCCTTTGACCAGAGAGCTATATTCAAGGCTTTGGGAAATATAAAAATAGATTTGAAACTGTTAGACCTGAGTTCTAGCCATTAGTGGCTAGGTGATTGTGGTCAAATCACTTAAATTGTGCGTTCTTATCCTTAAAATTGGCAATACTAAAACCTACCTCATGGGGTGTTCTCAAGGTTTAGATGAAATCATATATTTGAAATTTCTATGTGAATTTTAAATTACTATAAAGATGGGAAATGCTGTTTCAACTTTGGTTCTACATCCCTATTCCCAGTGGGGCAGTCCTAGTTATCATAAAGTGATATTTTTCTCTTGTTGAAATTAAACTTGCTCTTATGACCCTTAACTTTTACACAACTGAGAGCCATTAAAATAGATTTCCTGGATACAGTGATTGTCAAACTATGGGTAAAGGGCACTGGATAATTATAGGTTGGTTCACTGGTTTGTTTTAAGGAACGTTTTTATTTTTCAAAGCACTATAAAACCAATTTTCTTAGAAGGTCTGGAATATGAAAATCATAGCCATGAACATTTGTATGCTTACAAAGCTGCCAAATGATGCATGGCTAGTGAGTCTCAGAGTATTTCATTGATGCTCAAATGCTGCTTGTCCATTTATTTGCCTTCTGTATGCATTAGGAAACAAATAAGCTACAAGTAGTACCAGCGTTTTAAAATACGGTAGAAAAGAGGCTGGGCCAGGCTCATGCCTATAATCTCAGCACTTTGCAGGACCAAAGTGAAAGGATCACTTGAGCCC